ACCTGACCTCCCTCAAAGAGTACAAAATCTTTGAGTCCAGCTGAGATCACCTGACCCTTTGCCATGCAATTCATGGTAATTAATGACTGCTGTTTGTAGCCACTGGGTTTTTCATTTGTTCTGGAGCAATAATAACTATCTGATACAATCCTAGTCACTATGTTAAGAATTTTATACATAGTATATGCACAAATACACACAGTAGTCATAAGATGCACTATTCTTTCCTACTCTGTGATTGAGGTAACTGAGACTTAGTGATAAGTAACTTTACAAAATATATGTCAAGTTCAAATATTGAAATTGAATCTTGAATGGCTTATTGTAATAACCACTTCCCATACCAATGTAACAACGTATTGTTCTAAGATCGAATTGCACTCCTGCTAATTCTGCTATAGTTCTTGTACTCACATTTTCACTGTTTATAACTGAAGCACCTTGTTCACATTCATCACCCATTCTACTCAAGAAGAAATGTATCATTTTCTGATGAACCAAAGATAGGTACTGTCTTCAAAGTCTATTTCTTCAATCACTTCACAAAAGTATATTTATGTATGGAGTCAAGAGAACCTATTGAAATATTAATTGGAGTTCAGGTGCTCAACACCGAACACTTTTCATTTGGGGAGCTTTGGTTAAAGAAGCTTTTGCTCTAGAGTGATATGCCCACACCATGATTACAACAGTTACATTCATTTCTAAATATTTCCCACACTGTAGGAATTTAAAAGAAGTAAATGCAAAAGTGTTCTACTTGTTCTCCCTGCATGTTTCCCTTTCTTTCCTAATTTCTGTCTGTTCCTCTGAATCCTGTAGGTGTTCAAATATTTTATTTACTCCATTTACACTTTTATAGTAATTTAAATTTCCAAGTAAGTGTTGTTTCTATGATTGGAATTTGTGTAGCTTACTTTAGTGTGTATTTTTAGAATTAAAGCTTCAGTCTGTTAATATGAATATTTGAACAGGAAATGACCAGTAGCCAGGCTCTTAAAGTTTTCAGAAAAATCAAGTTGCCTTATTTTTATGAGCATCTGACTGAAGGACACAACTTCTCACACAAAGTAAGGACTTTAATAAATCACTGCCCATGGCCCCTGCCATGGCCTCTCTTTCCAAGATGGTCATAATTCACTATAAATATTCTCTTGAGATTTTCAAAGTTGGTTGTTTGAAGTATAGCATTCATTATCTCTGATTTATTAGGGGCTTATACATATTTAATGATGCCATTCTGAAGGTTTTCTTTTTAATTTTTACAAATTGTTAATTGATATGTACTTTTCACAGCACTACTCGGGGAGTCACATAGTATATTAACTCATTACATTAGTTAATATACCCATTAATGACTTCTATATATAATAAGATAATTTGGGTAGTGAGTTATTGTACATACTTCAGTCATACTTTATCTCCATTTTGACCTTAAAATTCCCAAATGCCACATATATTGTATATAATTTCATCACAATTTTCTGATAGTTAATTACTCATTCCATAAATACTTATTATCAAATACATGCTTAGCACTGTGGCAAGAAATGAGCAGAAGTAAGAGATGGGAAAGAAGAGCTCTAGAAATACTACATTGTTGCAATAGATTTTGTTGTGATATACTGAGAACTACTGCCAGAGACAGCACTTTGTCCATTATAACTGAGAACAATGATTACACAAAAACTAAGTAAAGTGCTATTTTATTCATTTTAGAGTTGGTGGAAACTGAGCTTAAAAATGCTAAGTCTTTTGCCCAAACACACAAATCAGATTTCTTTAACGATACTGACTCATTTACCTAGCTATTCATATAAAATTTGTTAACTGTACTTAGTTAGCTAAGTGTGTATGTGTGAGTATATAAAAATGAATGTACACACTTAAAATGTTTTTCAGTCTATTAACTTTTATGATTTGCATAAAATAAATCCAAAAACATCCTAAGAGTATAATTTGAAGAGTTTTGACAAATGCACACATATATATTGCATACATATTTTAAATTTAAAAAGTCACTGATATGATCAAAATATATGACACATTGTAAGTGAATATAATATAAAGATGTTTTCATAAATTTATTCATAATAAATGAACTCTTGCAATTGACTTTTTTGTTCAACATAATATTTTGAGGTTTACTCATATTCTTATTTATGCCAATAGAATTCATATTCACAGCTGAATAGTACTCTATTATATAAATGCATCACAGTTTGCTTATTCATTCTCCTACTGCTGAAAATTTTATGGTATATGCAGTTTGTACCATTATAAATAAGTCACTATGAACCACACACATGGTCGGTTTTTTTTTTAATGATGTATGTACTCATTTTCCTTGAATAAAAATTTGGGAATAGATGGGTAGGTAAGTATATTTTTTACATTATAAGAAAATGTCAAAAGAATTCTCCAAAGCTTTTTTTTTCAGTCTCCCTTTCTAATAGCAATGAAGGCAAACTTCAATTATTCCTCATCCTTACCGAATTTTGTTATTTTCACTCTTTTTCATTTCATTGGTCATTCTGAGTACTAAATGGCATTTAGTTATAATTCTAATTTGCAATATTTTAGACCCAAATCACTAAATTTTATATGGTAAAGAGTGTATAAAGTATTCTGTTTCCAGAAGTATTGAAAATGAAATAACTTCACAATTTCCAATGTCTATTCAGGACTACAACATAAAAGATAATATTTATTATGACTAGTTATCCTCAGAATTTTGCACTATTGATAAACTTTAAAAACAAAACAAAATACAACAAAGCAAAAACAGATAACTATAAATCAGAGACATACTGCAAGGGAGGAGGAGGGAGAGGGATCAGAGGGAAGGGACGGTGGTGAAGGTACGAGGGTGCCTATGGGGACTCAATCTGAGGGGGTAGGAGAAGGCAAATATTGTTTAAAAATATATAAATAAATAAATAATAATAAATAAATAAAGAGAAAAAAAGAAAAAAAGAATAAAGTGAAACTAACCCATAATACTACTTTTTAAAATCATTTTCATCTTTTTTCTATTAGTAAAATTAAATTATCCCACACATATTCTTTTGATATATACCTTTTAAATTTTTTCACTTATATTTGAAAGAATTTTTCAAGCTAATAAATTTAGATTTAAATCATTACATTGAAACACTACTGGTGTTCCATTATATAAATGTTATGAACTTATTTAATCTGTATCTTGTAAGTAAACATTTAGGTTATCTCTGCAGCCATTCTTGTACATAAGTCTTTGTGAGCTTATTTAATTATTTCCTTTTGATAAATTCCTGGAAGAGTAATCATAGATTCAGGGAGTTTAAACTTGTTAAGCTTTTTACTTGTAGCAAATTGCCTTGCAGGGTGTCAGCCTTTGAAGTTTCAATATTTTTTAATTGACCAAAAATAATGTTGGCAAACTTTTATTTCTTAATTGATACTTGTATTTCTTTTGTATCCATGAACAACTTTTTAAAGCATTCTTTTATAGATTCTTTTGCAAGGCCTTTATACGTTCAGAAACTAATACATTATAATATAAAATAGTCTGTCACATGATGCCAGAAATATATTTTTAAAAATTTTATTTAGTAGACAAATAAATGAAATAGAAAAGCAAAAAAAAAATTCTATTTCTATTACTCTTATGAATATATTAGCCCTTTAAAAGGAATCATTTATCAAAAGAAGCTTATAATAAAAAATTCAAACAAAAGTATAAAACATTGAAATTTATGTGAAAAGATATTATTTCCAAGTATGAACTGGTATGTGAATATAAATGCCTGTTTACACACAAAGCCCTTCCTAGTTTTAAGAAGCAAAATCCTCCACCCTCACAGTACCCTCAGGAAAATATCTTTACTACAAAAATACACAGTAATACATGAGTCACTGCTCGACACTCAGTTTTAAGAGAGAATTCTGATACCCATGATAGCGTATTTCAAAACGAAAGGATTTTTGAGTCACAAATGTTTCGTTTCGTAGATCCAAGTCCCTGGTCTAATAATAGTATTACAGAATGCCTGCTGTTCTCTATACCCTCCTCCCTTTCTCAGATTGAACAGAGATCCTTCTAAGAGAAGAAAAAGGAGATAGAGCAAGGGAGCAAGAAAATCAGGCTGTGACAGAGTAGCTGAACAGAGCTGCTGCCTGCCTAGCCCTCCAGCTCTGCTCTAGTCAGGGGTAAAATATCCCCCAAGAAGCCTGAGCCCCTGAGAATGCAGAAGTCTTGCCCTGCTTCTCAAACCCAGATTCAGGACTTTCATTGGACATTCATGTTCTAAAATATAATCCTGAGGTGTATGTAAACTGAAACTTGCCCAGGCAACATAAACATGTTTCCATGTGGCTTTATAAGAGAGCATAAAGGAAGTTGTAGGTGTTAATTCAGATTTCTCAGCGGACATCAGCACAGAATTCCTCAACACCTATGAACCAGGTGGGGAGATCATGTGCATTTCAGCAGATGCCGACATTGCCAGACACAAATGATCAAGGAACTCACATGGCACTGTAACAATTTAGATGCCACCCGAGTTACAATGAATGAGAGAGAAGGGATAATCATTATCTAATTGTGTTTAAATGTCACAAGACAAAATCTAGTGAGCATAAATGAAAATTATACTGTCAAGTATCAGCCAGAAGTGCTTAATAGAGTTTAAGTTGATTCACAGAGTGGGGAATTACTTATTTGCATATCTGGGTACTTGGTTTATAAAATTAAAACAATTTTAGACCAGAAGAAACTTTGAAAGTTGTCTACGCAAGCTTGTCTTTTGCTCAACATAGGAGCAAAATTCTAGTGAGGTTAAGGGATTTGCACAAACACCCATATAATTAGTGGCAGAGTGTCAGAACCCAGTGTCTGTCTGTCCAGTTTAGATTTCTTTCTCCCACAACAGCGAAACAGTCTTGCTATCATTATAAAAGCTATATTCGTATGACTGCAATGCTAATTATCATTTCAAAATAGCAGTGAATATACTTACACAGGCTTAATAAGTAGGCAGCTATGGCAAATCAATTTGCTATTATTGTTGCTTTCAATTAATGTTAAAAATATACCATTTGGGTGTTCGAAGTAACTTTTGCCTCTTCAGTGTGCTAGAAACAAACAAAAAGAATGTTTTATTATAAACAGAATTCAAAATTAGGAGTTTAAACCATCTTTTAATATTTCATCACTAACCTGTCTAATACTTAAAAATTAGGTAGAAAATAAATCTAGACTATATCTGATTTTTAAGTTTATTTTGTTTGATATGACAACAGTATTGTAAAATACAAGAAAATAAAATATATATACCAGACTTTTTTTCTATTCTTTTAATCTTTGTTTTTTGATATAAAATGGCTCTAGGTAAGAGTGAATAAAAATCCCTTGTATCTTTCTGATGTTTTGTTATAATTGTGTTCTTTTGTCATCAAAGAAGTACAAGCATGTGTAAAATGTCTTAAAATTTTTGAAGTTTTTATGTTTTATGCTATTTGGTAAGCTGATCTAATAACCTTTATTTCCTTACATCAATTCTAACATTGTCGCTGCCTTAACACTTACATATTTATAAATATGTTACCTGTTGTAAATCATTACTTTCTAGAGTTGATAAACATTCCTTATATAATTATTATCATTTATAGCCATGCCACCCACACCCGACCTTGTCTTTTGGAATATTCCTAGGTAATTCACTTATCTATTTCACTAATCACAAGAACCATAAATAACATTAAAAAACAGCATTGGGAGCCTCCCAGTGGGGCAGTGGTTGAGCACTGGGTTGCGAAGCTGCCCGCAGCCTCTGCAGCATGGGTTCAATCCCCCACCACTGGACAAGGGTCCCACATGCTATGCAGACCTCTCCTGCTGCCCGCTGCTCCCCTCAGCAGTGTATTCGTCAATCTGCCTGTTCTGCTCTCCACTCTGGCTCTGGTGAATTCTCTCACCCTCCTGTGCTTCTGACTGTACCCAGTGTTTAAATAAATAAATAAATAAATCTTTAAAAAAAAAAAAACAGCATTGGTATAGGATTTTTATATTCATTCCTGCATTTTATATTCAAAACAGTCCAGTGAGGCAGAAATCACTAAAATGCAATAGTAATAGCAGTAAAAAGAGTAATATTGGCAGGAAAGTTTATTTATCATTCTCAATTAAAGATGAATTAAAAAAAAACTCACTAAGTTTGAATTGCCCAAGGTCAAAGAGCTGATATGTGTGAATGTGTGCATATGTTTGTGTGTGTGGCTATATATACACATATGTGAATATGGATATATATCAACTTAAATGAACAGAGGATTTTATTTTAGAATAAAACTAACTTCAGTGTAAAGAATACTTTACAAACATAGAGTGATTTTAAAAATTCAAGAATATGTTTCTCAACCACAAATAGAGAGAGAAAAAACATGAACTCAGCCCTATTTCCCAGATCTGTCACAAGATACCTGAATCCTGCTGAGGGAATTCTCAGAGGAATAATATCCCAGGAATAAGAGAAAAATTAGACACAGTCTATCATCCTTGTAATTAGAGCGACTTAGTGATATTTAGTGCTAATGAGAAAAATAAAATCAATAATATTGGGAATCAAGACTCTCCTGGCTATGGTGTTTAAAATAAATCTTAGATATAGCCACATGTTTGAATTTGACGATATTTAACTTTTGTTCATCTATGACATATTTTTAAAATATCATGTATCAGGATTCAGTTTCTGAGTAATCCAAAATTCCTACTATGAAACAAAAATGCATAATAAAAATTAAATCTTATTTGAAAGATATCAGAGAGCTGTGAAAGTAACAAGCATCAAAGAACTAAAATGCAAGGAAGGGAAGAGTCCTTCCTATAATTTTTCTCTACTTAATATTTCTTCATAGGATTTAGCACTACCCTATTATACAGGTCACAATCATTTATCTGAAACTCTTACAAATATATCTGAAAAAGGGTTCTATAATTTTAGAAAAATAATATAATACATGTATTCTACTTTCGTGGCATCCCTATAGGACCCGGGGCAGCAACCCCAAATCAAGCATATTAATATTTCTACAATAAAATTTATGAATATGCATCATAATTTAATTATTATAAACAGATTTTCATTAATTCAAATCAGGTTTTGCCAGAAGATGAATTACAAAAGAAGTTTTAATTTCAGAACAGTGCTTAAGAGAGCGTAGAGATTTATTATATTTTCATTGTTGGCATCAATTGTTCATCTGCCTTCCGAGGGCAGGGGCCTTTTTAGATTTGAAATGTTGTTGCCACAGATCCTTGAATGGTGCATGTTTTATAAGAAACTCTCAAATGGTGTAGTGATGGTTTGCAAAAGGGATGCCTAAGAAACAAAATGGAGCAGTTTTATCAACCACAAAAGCAACCTGAGTTTGTTTATCTACCTTGCCAATAACTGAGGACTTGTCAGCTCAGCAGATTTGGGTGTCTTGAAAAATCACAACACTCATATATGTTGATAGAAAAGTAATTGCAAACATTTAATGTAGGAGGAACCTGGAGAATCAAAATAAAATGAAATTTGTTACTTGAAAAGGTGGAAATAATTTTCCTCATGAAGATGGTCTCTAAAAGCTCTTCACTTAAAATCCACTACCTCTTCCTAGGGAATAGCAGGTTATAAACAGAATACTACAAACAGTTTGTATGAAAAAAAGCGCAAGGAACAAGGGTCATCCCAATACAGAAATATATACTAAGAGCCCATTTAGCAAGAGAAAATCAGAGAGGAAGAATATAAGATTTAAATTGCATCCATTTAAAAGACATTTCTTCATACAAAATATCTCAGCTTTTCATGATATTGCAATCTTTGTGCTGAATGAGATCTTGGGAGGTCACAAAGGATTTATGCCTAAATCACCTAGGGTAGGGGAAAGCTATATGGAGTCCAGTTTTGAAATAAACATATAAATGAGCACATTTTTAAGAATTCACCATTCAACAAGTCTTTGTTTTACCTTATGATATGTCTAAAACTGTATGAGGACTATTGCCAAAATATATAATGTCTTATCAATATCTCTGTATGACACATATATGTTCCTGACATTTCCTGAATTTACAGTGTTTTTCTTTTTATAAAAAGTCAAAACAATACAAGAAAGTCATTAGCTGAGGTCTTAGATGCACAGGGGCATATTCTTTCAGTGATAAGAATTAAGATAGGAAAACCATCAGAGTAGGCCGATGGGACTTGATCACACTTTCGATGTTCAGGGTGTGAATAAGTGGAAGCTATGTGCAAAGAAATTTTCTAATGAAAGAAAATGCAAGTGCAAATATATCCTGTAGTATGGTGCAGTGACTCAGTCAAGTAGCTTAGATTAAAAGTAAGCCTCAACTTTGGTTTCAGGTGTGGCCAGTATAGAAGTTCTCACATCTCCAGATCCTTTCAAAGGGATAGTCACAATGCTTAACCTCCTTGTTGGATAAGCAGCATCTAATTGAACAACTAAATTATACATTTAGTTTGCCAACATAGCCATCTTCTGACTACACTGTTTTAAGAGAGAATATATGTAGAAAAAATGCAGAGGATAGCTTTGAGTCATTATTCAAATAGCACCATCCCTATGTAAAACAGATCTGATCCCATCCAATTTACAAAAATCCTCCATGCCTTATAAGCATCGCTTTATAAAACCTAAGCAGAAGGTATATAATAGGATGTAAGTAATAAGCAGGGTAGTCATGAAGAATGTGGGCTTTTTGAATTTGACCAGTGTGAGTTCCAGAACATCACTTACTGAATTAATAATCATAGGCAAACGATTTAATTTCTTAAAGCCCTAATATATCTTACATGACAATTATAAATAAGCTAATAAAGTACTCAGGACAGAGTCTGGCATGTAGTCTGAGTTCGTGTGTCAGCAGTTAAAATTATCACTAATTGGCTCTATTGTCCAGTGTCATTCAAGGAAATAATTTGTAATGATCTTCAAATATTTTAAATTTCATTAACAACCTTAAATATTAATATAGAATTGTAATCCTTTTGTCATTTTAACCATTAAGATAGTCTTACATAATTTTCTAATTCATAGTAAACCTCAGTTTTAAATGGCACATTTGTTATTCTACTATTCAGGGCAAAGATAAATTCATCCCTGCTGCTGCCTATCTTGGATCATCCTGTTGAAGTTGCCTATGTACAAACAAGCTTCTTCACAAATCATACTCTGCAGATCAGGACATCTGCCTTAGACACTGCAAATCCCAATCTCCACTCATAAACATTTCCATTTTTCAGAGATTTGGATATTGGCTCCAATTTGACATTACTAGTAGGAAAGTATAAGACTTTCAGGACTTGTCAAAGATGGCAAGTTCTGGAAATTCAACACACAGATTTCTTAGAATCCTTATTTTAAAACCATAAACTATAGGACATGTCTCATCCAAATAGAAAGAACTATCCTTCTGGACAGATGACAGTTTTAGCTGCCAGTAACAAAGAGTACTTCACCTTGACAGCTGCCCTGCATGCCTTTATTGCCCCAACGTCCTCTAAAGTAAATTTATATGTCATAGAGCCCATATTTGTTAGAAAATTCTAATTATACACACACCAAGAAATCTAGCAGTTACTGTGGGCTATAGTGCTGAAAACAGAAATAGGATTATAATTAGACATAAGTTGTATAGGTCACATTCTTTCTTTTTTTATTCCCTCCACCAAATCACCCATGTCCGTAAACTACCTGCTTCATTATTTTATATCCTGTGATATTAGCCCACAAGACACTGATTCACATAGTATGGAATAACTTCTTACAGTTGTGAAGAGAAGTAAGCTTTATGTGTATGGAATTCCCATCTTCTACAGCCTTTAACTAATTTTAAATATATTGAGAGTAAAGAAAATTAGCATTAGATTTTCCCTAATGTCTATATAACACTGTTACTTTCTATATTACTTAGTATTGCAAACCTTTGTAAGATTTCCCCTTACTTAACCTTGGCTCTATCAGCATCTTCTGTACAAAAATAGAGTAATTAATGATGGGCATTGATATATTTTCTTTTAGTTCATACTGCTTTTTCCTTTCCAAAGAAAGCTTCAAGGCAACTCCCATACAATAGTCTTATTAATGTATTCACTATTACTGTGATAAATATATGATTTAAGAAATGTTGAACAGGGCCTCCCCAGTGGCACAGCGGTTGAGCAATGGGTTGCGAAGCTGCCTGCAGCCTCTGCTGCGCCGGTTAGATCCCTGGCCACCGGTGAGAGTCCCACATGGCGCGCAGACCTCTCCTGCCTCCTGCTGCTCCCCTCAGCAGTGTGCTTTGTCAGTCTGCCTGTTCTACTCCCCGCTCTGGCCCTGGTGAATTCTCTCACCCTCCTGCGCCTCTGACTGTACCCAGTGCTTGTATAAATAAATAAATAAATCTAAAAAAAAAAAAAAAAGATGTTGAACAGCTTTTTCCTATTGAATTAAAGTTGAGTCCTTTGTCAGAAACTAAGAATTATCAAGAACATAAGAGTATGTGGAATGTTTATGTATTTTCACCTACTGGCCTTTAACCTTACCTTCGTCTAGTTTTTAAGCTCAACACAAAGCAACTGTTGCCAAAACTCTTCTGGCATACTGGTAAAGCCTGGTCATAACCATTCAAAATCCATACAGTCCTGCTATGAACCAAGGAGACCAATGAATCCCAGCAAAACCAACAAATCTCTACAATCTCAAGTTCTTCATCTGGTACATTTGGATGAGAATAGGATGGTTTCCAGCTGTGACAGCAGGATCATCAATAACCATAAAGACTCAAAACCAATCCACCATTGGTGGCCTCGGCCCAACACATGGTGCTTTCACCACCAATGCACTGGGGTCCCAGCAAGCCTTTGGCCCTGCAGCCTGCCTGGCCATGGCAGACATGCGAATGGAGTAGAGGAAGGGCAGACGACCAAAGGGCTGGGACTGGTCATCCCCATCAAAAACTTTTACAACTGCCTCTGTCCTTGAGAGAGTCAATCATTGCCCATTGATCTCTACTTCAGCAGCAAGTATATAAGGAAGTTCTTCCAGGGACTAAAGATTGCCCTGGAATCAAACTTATGTTTTCAGTGTTTAGGGGTTAAATGCCACCAAGATGATAATAGTGGAAGTTACACCTTTTGCTCCCGAAAGAAACATCCAACAGTTAAGCACAGAGACACAACATTGAGTGTATTCTGCAGCTCAGAGTGAACTGAACAACCCACTAGACATCAGATCTCATCAGCAACTGCTCCAGAAGAGTTCCAAAGGCAAATTTAAACATCTGGGACTACATAAATGAAAAAGTTTCTGCAAAAGAAACTAAGGTAGTAATAACTGAGGGGAATTCTATACTTCAAAAACACCAACAATAATATAATACAATATTACTTCAATTTTAAAAAATAATTAAATTAATTTTAAAATATAAAATAAAGCAAAAAGACACCCTATTGAATAGGAGAAAATAGTTGCACATCATACATGTGAAAAGGGGCTAATATCCAGGATGTATAAAGAACTCATATAAGTCAACAAAAAATTAAAACCCGATAAAAAATAGGCAGAAGAGGTAAACAGACATATCTCCAATGAAGAGATACAGATAGCCAACACATGAAAAAAAATGTTCATTATAATTTATCACCTGTAAGGATGGCCCCCATCACAAAATCAGAGACAAATATTGGTGAGAATATGCAGAAAAAGGTAAAACTCCCATGGAAAAGAGTATAGAATTTTCTCAACATATTAAAAATAGATTACCATCTAATCCAGCAATTCCATTTCTAAGTATCTACCTGAAGGATACAAAAACACTATTTTGAAGGGATATTGCATCCTATCTTCATTGCAGCCCTATTCGTAATAGCCAAGGTATGGAAACAACCTAAGTGCCCTACCACAAATGAGAGGATTAAGAAGATTTGGTATTATACACAATGTAATACTACCCATTTATTTTAAAAAAAGAAACAGATAAAATCTTAACATTTACAATAACATGAATAGAACTGGAGGGGATTACATAAAGAAAAAAGACAAATACCAGATAATGTCATTCATATGTGGATATAATGTAACAAAACAAAGGAAAAATAAAACAAAACCAAAACATACCCTAGAAATATGAAGGTACAGTTGAGGCTACCACAGAGAGTGAGGACATTTGTGGGGTCAAAGCACAACAGCATAGGAATAATACACAAGCCAGAGAACCATGGGTAACTCGTGTTCTTTCATTTTTCAAGATTCCTATCTCAATATAAAGATTCCTTCCACAATATAGAGTCCACTCTCTTTGTTAAGATTATCAATAGACCACACAGATTTATATTAGAGAAAACCATGCTTACATAGATAAACTTTCTTTTTTTTTTTTTTTTTTTTTTTATCTTAAATTTTATTATATTCCCCCATACAATTGCAAATGCCCCATTCTGACCCAATCCTTCCCCTCCCGCCCCCCACCCCCAAAAAGTGTCTCTGGTT